GCAGCTGTGTTGGAAGCTGCTGCTCTTCCTTGTCCTGAGTGCCTCGACCTGGACCTTGAGGAATCACTGGAGCTTGAACTTGATCCATCGCCTGACCCTGAAGGAGAGTAGTTCAAATCGCTAGATGGGCTGCCTGCCTCAGCAGGCGCTGTATCCAGCCTGGGCGCAGCTTCATCGATCTGTCGAGCTTCTCCTCCCAGGTTTTCTGCCTGTCGTTGTGTCGCGTGAACCGGTTGGCTCACTGGTGGCGCCACGATAACCACTGGTCCAGAAGGCGGTGGCACTGCTGCCGACTCACCCTCAATCCCTGTCCTGAAGGCGGTGGCATTGCTGCCGGCTCACCCTCAAGTCCCGGACTTGCTTGTGGCGCAGACTGAGCATTGACCTCACTCCTCACGTGATCTGGCCTGCTTCCGTTTGCACGAAAGGTCGTGTCCCATGGCACACCAGCTGCCTGGTCAAAGATGTTCATCTGAAACCTTCTGCCGATTCTGCCGTAGGTCATCCTCCTAACTGTTCTGAACGTTTGAGCGCCTGCACTTGTCAAGAGGATGCGCTCATCTGAACTGTTGGTCTTGCCAACATACACACCACACACCCACCTGCTAGCACTCTTCACCCCTGACTTCTTGGGTGAGTACTTTCCAAGCGCACACTCTCCAAATGGCAGACACTCAGCTATGCAATCATAGCCATTCAGCACCTTAAATGGTGTTGTTTTGGACTGATTCACATGGAAACGCTGCAAAGACCAACTCACAAAACGTATGATCCATGGAAGCATGATGTCGGTTGTGGTGATAGCTTGTTCACTGTAGCTGTCTCTCACGCTTGCAATCCATGTCCTAACCTAACTTTTCCTGCAATCAACCCATTCACCATTTCACCATCAGCTAGGCTTTGCGATGAGCACCTAGGACTCTTCCGAATTGCAACACCCATGCGCTGCTGAACCTGTTCAAACACTTTGCTCAAAGCTGACTCTTGGTCAATCTGAATTGTCACCTTCTTCCACCCCAGACTCTTGATCCACTCCATCACAGCATTGACTGAGCACATGCTACGCTTGGTTCCTTTCCCTGGAACCAGAATTTCGAAGCGGCCAGGCTCAAGCCCTGTGTAGAGGGTGTTCTCGCCCTCAACGAACAGCTCCGCTTCGGGGATTGCTCGCAGGCCTCTTCCCCCAGCAGGTGTTCCCGCTTGCAGGGACAAGCCTTCTCCGTAGGAGAGGCTCCTAGAGAAGTCCGGGGCTTATCTCAACTCCCTATCAGGAATATCCACACCCAGATCAAGGCCGACCTGTTGTCGCTCGGCCTCCCGATCCAAGCGCCGGGCCAGTCCACGCGCAGCCGCTCGGCTATGCCTGCTCAGACCTTTGGCGCTCTTTACCTTTTACGGGCCTTTCACGCGCGGAGTGCAAAACCCTTCTTTTCGAACCACTAAAGGGCTGCGTTAGGTCGTATTGGGCTCAAGTGCAAACACAAGGGAATGGCTGCGCAAACACTGTACTATGTGCGCAGCAAGGCCAGCCGTAACAGATCGTCGGTAGGCAGCTCCTCTGCAACGTCCCCCGCGCCTGCCCCATCGTCGTCCAGGTTCTTGAGGCCTGCCAGCTCTCCCTGATGCTCGAGAAGCTGCTGCAGCAAATCCGACTGAGCGGGAGTAGGAGCCGCCGCTGGAGACTCCAGACCTGTGGCATACGCCTCTGAATGACCCAAATCGCGCCGACCCAAACATGAGCCACCATCACCAACTCTTCCAGGTCCAGGTTGCGATAGACTCCTTCGGCAGCATGTGGCCAGATAGTGTCTGCAGGCCATATCGGATTCTCCGAGCGCTTCAAGTGCTGGTAAAGCACTTGAAGCCAATCCAACAGGATCAGCGACACCTGCTCACCCTCGGACCCGTCCTCGTCGAAGCCATCCGCTTCCAGCTGCCGTGTCGGCCCAAGATCGGTGGTGACGTTCACCACTGTCTTGCTCTCCAGTTCTTTTGGGGTGAACGTTTCCCACGGCACTGCCCGCATCAGCCCTCCGGCTCGCCTCACAACTGCCAGGGTGCCCAGTTTCAGAAGCATCTATTCCGGATCGGAAGACCCGTCGCAGATAGCTAGAGAGGCAGCTCGTCGCACTCCAAGAGAACGCCGCGGCATCTCAAAGAACAGCGGGGAAGTCAACCCCGTAACCCAGACACCAAGCCTCGGCTTCAGCCTGAGAGGCAAAGGCAATGAGCTGGGTAGCTGGCTCCTTGCGAAGCTGTTTGTCTGCGGTGCGTCTCTTGCCTGCTGCCCACAATGATCTGTCTGCTGCCACGCCCAACCAACAAGAGTTCTGAATGCCAACCGCGGCAGGAGGCACCACTTCCTCACAATGTAGGTCTCGGCTGGCTGAGTCAGCCCCTGATTGGAAAGCCTGCTCGATGCGCACTCTGGGAAGCACCTTTGCCTGCTTAGAGGACAGTCGTGCAGCCAAACGGTTCGTACAGCAAACTCAAGCACAGGAGCAGGTGGATCAAGAACTTCCCACTCTGGTTTGTCGTCGTGATTGGGTGCCGGCTCCACAGTAACAGTTACCTTCACCTGAAGAGATGGACCAGAAACTGTAGCAGAGGAGGAGGCACTGGCCATGCACTAGTGCCGTCTATAGGCAGCTAATCTGTTCTTTGGCAATGGGGCAGGTACATTAGCTACAGCTTCCCTGACCAACAACCACAGAACTTGACGACACCTAGCCGAAATGATCAAGGTGGCAACGCAGGCTCCAGAGATGAACCCCAGCACCCAACAAGTAGCCAGCAAGGGAGGTTCTCGGGCAAAGGTTGGTCCACGTGATGAGGTTACTCAAAAGGACCTGCCACATTACCTTGAGGCAAACAGGCTCCAGCGTTTAATTCCATGAAAGCATGCTGGACATGCATGTGCTAAGCTGCCGTAGGACCCATAAGATCTCCAAGACTGTGCCACATGCCTTCGGAACCGGATGTCTTAAGTTGCCATAACATGGATGTAAAGCTAATGGTGAGGTCTCCTCCCCGCCGTTTGCTTCAGCTTGACAAGGCGGTGCCTTCGCGCTGCCCTCTGGAATGCCGTGCTGGATATGAAGACAGGGGGATGCGTGAATGCTTGACTTCTCCCTGAAGGAACCGCTAAGTGAAAGCGAGCTGCTCTGCGGTGCAGTTGGAAGCATTTCCATGTGCTGCCCCCTCGTCGGGCAACCTCGCGGAATTCGTGACCTCTACCTGCCCCGCACAGGTTGTAGTTCAAGGGTCTCCCCATGTATGCGTTTCAAAGTTTAAAACGCGGAACCTCATTTTCAATGGCTGGTCGGAAGCACGTTGCCACATTGAAACAAACCAAAGCTGCAGTCAATCTCCATAGCATGTGTAGACTCGAAGCACAGCGGGGAATCCCCAATGTGCATTGGAATGGAACACACTCAGCCAAAATGGCTGCTGACATGCAAAACACACGATCCATTCCAAACACCGAAACTTCGCATAAAGGCGCACAGGCAGCACAGCTACACTCTACTTTTCATAAGCTTGAAGAGGCCCACCTCTTCTTCTTCTCCTGGTCAGGGCTGCAAATAAGGAAGGGTGCCTTTGCTTCCTTGCGTACCTTTGCCCCAGCCTTATCCTCTTCACGGGGCTTTGCTTCCTTGACGCCCTTGGTCTGAGCTCGTGAAGTTGGTTAATATTACCAAAACTTTCCAAAACCGGGCCAGTTTGAGACGCCCACCTTGGCAGACTGCCGACCTCAGCACAAGGCTGATGTGTTTTGCCTACACGTGCGTGTGACAACTAACTACTACATTTCCATCCAGCCATCTGCTCCCTGATGCAAATAGATCGACCTGCGCTGAAAACGTGGACGTGCAACACGTAGGACAGAGAGCTGGGCGAAGTAGCTCTTCATCATCTAGCAGCTCCCAGTCGTCCACATCCTCCAGGCTCGGGAGTGCCAATGCAAAAAAGTGAATCTGAGCTTGGCCTCCTTTACCTCCTCCACCTTCTTAGGCTTTTCTTTGAAGAGCCTCGGAATCCAAGAGCGCCAAGGCAGAGCACAGCACGGCAGCTGTAGGAGCATCAAGTGCCAGGCCCCTTCTTTGGAGGCTTTGGAGCTGGGCCTTCTGTCACCTTCTGATCCTTCTCGACCTTCTCAGCCTTGTCTCTCTTGACCTGGAAGCACGTACGCCGTACCCCTCGCGCTCTCTCGGTAGAACGCATGCCTTGGCTGGCTTGTCTTCCACTACCACCTGAAAGGAATCTAAGTCCTGGCATCATTTTAAGTTAAAATCCGGAGGCTGAAATTGGGCCTTCTTCTCGCCTCTCTCAGCTTTTGTTTTTTTGCCCTTTTTTGGGCGAGGAGGCGACCTTGGCACTTCTCTCGATCGCTTGACAACCGTGTGGCGCATGCAGCTCTCGGGTTAGTTGTCAGAAGCTTCACCTGATCCCGGATGCGTTTTACGAACGATCGCTCTGCTGTTGGTGCCTTTTGCTGCTTAGAAGATGTTAGTTTGGCCTCAGCGAGAGAACACTGCTTCTAGACCCAATATGGAAACCCGGCAAGCTGTCGCTCTTTTCTACTACTGCGTGTTGTTACTTGCCTTTTCATTGCAATTCGAGGAGCGAAAAGCGAAAGGTGTTCAACTGAAGTGAATCGCAACCAGAGACCAAGAATAAAAAGTGGCAAGCCAACGGCCCAGTTCTTGTCTGGCTTTTGAGGAAATCCAGCGCTGAGCCACCAGCGATGGCGAGGAGGAGCTCCGCTTTCGCACCATTGCAAGAGGTCACGTCAGTTACGCTTTCAGAATGAGAACGGTCTAGACTTGGAGCAACCGCTCATGGCTGTGGCTGGAATCTAGAAGAATGCAGTGGAGCATCCTGTTACCATGAGCGTTTGAGACAATGCGTGACCCATCTGAGCTGACTGAGCCGTGTGCTTCAAAGGGAATTCGGTTGGCCAAGCGAGCTGACAAATGCTGATAGGCCAGGCGTCATGCCCAAGTAACGCCGCGCGGCACCTTCTCCGCCTTCCGTTGTCACCGCTAAAAACCGAAAAACTGAGATTAGCTGCGCTTAGCTATGCTTAGCTGGCTTAGCATGTCAGGACAAGTGGCCGGAGCGCGTCCTGAAGGCGGCCGCCTGCACGGCAAAGCAATGCAAAGCATGCAAATCTTCATGCAGCGCAGCTGAAACAGAACCCTTGGGCGAACCCACGAGGATCCACCAGATTGTCGACGGATGCCTGAGACTGCGCTGCGTCACACTTGTGGTTCCGACTGCTTCAAGGCCTGCTGCCGACGCTGTCGCATCTTGGACTTCAAGAGAACCTGCAGCAAGAACACGGGCCTGCCTTGTGAGTTGAGCAAACTCTCGATTCACTCTCTGCATCCGGTTAACCAGATGCGACTGTGCGGTCTGAACATCTTCGCGTGATGGTGGCCTGCCACTGTTCGTCAATATTCACACAACACTCTGCCACAGCACGGTCCAGCCCTGGGGCGAATTCTGGCCTCATCATCTCAGCCCAGCATTGCGCACCTTGTGCATTGCTTGCATACTGCACTGATGACTGAGCCTTCTTGCTCTCTCGGGGTGCGGCCTTCAGCAGCTCCTGAGCGCGTCTGTGTATGATCCAGATGAGCAGTGGAAAAGTCCACGGTGGCTAGCTCCTATAGTGCTGATGCGAGTCTTTGCTCGGTATGCCTGCGCCCTGAAACGCTATAAGACGCACCGAGTCTGCTGAAGCTGTGCCAAAGCTGCGGCACAAGGCATACACTTGCCAAAGATTACACAGGTCCACTGTGAAGCTCCGGAGCCCTTTTGGAACCTCGAATGGTTCTGGCCAGCACGTGCTTTCGTGCTGTCAAACCCCTGAGTTTCAGAGGCGGGTGAAACTTCCAAACAACCACTTGTATAGACGCGTGCTACGCGGAGGCGCCACATGTAGCGCTCTGAATTTGACACTGGAGGCAATTTCTTCAGCCTCACATGATGAAGTGAAACCGGCTCAACATGGCTCAACCTCCTTGAGAGGGAGAGATGCCCACACCACACGGCAGCTTTGTCATCCCCAGGACCGGCGAGGGCCTCGGGCTTCGCAACTTCCCCCTCCGCCCTCACTGGATGTCATGAGCTTCTCCTAAGCCTGCGGGCTGGACAGGCTGCCGAGACGTCGGGCCCTACTTGGCCCATAGGGACTCTCGGCCTGAAAGGCGCGACAGCTCTCACAAATGTTTCAAGCCTGAAAGGCGTGCGTTTGTCTTACATGCGCGGTTCTTCTTCTTCTTCTTATTCTTCTTCTTCTTCTTCTTCTCCTGCGGGCTCTGCCCCCCCCCCCCCTTGCCGGGGAGCCGGGGTGCACCCCAAGCCCAGAACCGTCCACGCAGTCATATGGTCGGGACCAGCAAGCGGTTCTCTGACCCTTTCACTTGGTTCGGGGCACGATTGCTAGCAGGAGCCGGGCGGTGCCTGCATTGGACAAAAACAGCTCCTCTTTCACCAGCAGTGCCGGCAGTATAAACCCACCGCAACCGAGCCGTAGGCCTAGGTCTATTGTCACTGTGACGGCTGCCCATGAGCCCGAGCCTGCAAAGATATCTCCACAGCAGGGACGAATCTTAACCCTTACCGGACCTCGGCAAACCCCCTGCACTGCCAGCACTGCCAGCACTGCTCCCTGCACTGCTCGCTGCGCTCGCCACACTGCGGGAGGCATCCTGCGAGAAGCTTGCAGCAGCTGCAAGGTTGGGAGTGGCGCCGTCCAGGCCTGCAACTCTGGGCGACGACGCCTGGCATAATTCTTAGTCAGGCAAGGTGTCCGCGACTTCTGAGAAATTTGTAAGTCGCTTCCCAGCTTTTGCTGCCTGCGCAAGGCGCTGCCACGCGGTGCTGATGGGGGTCGGTCAGACCTGAAACTTTGAAGTTCTGACAACAAAAGATGATGTTCAGGACCAGGAGAAGTCAGACAGCGAGAATCACGCTATGCTATGCTTAGTCGACTTGCGGCAAACCGTGTCATATTCGATGCAGAGAAATTCATGAGGCAACGCATTACAGCCCAGGTGCGCAGAACAGGAAAATGTAGGAAGTTCAATTCGGATCTGCATACTGCTCCGAGTTTCAACCAGGCCGGTTATGAGCTCTTGTACTAGTGACGTGACTATAAGGCGTCCACGTGACTGGGAAAGATTGCAGGCGAATCTGAATGCTCAGGCGACTGCGCACTGGACCCTTTTGACGGACGCCTCGAGGGCCGTGGGCGCAGCTCCTCGCCATGGAGAACTATGATAGACAAGGAAAAACTCGACAGAGCAAAGGCAGAACACAAAGGCACCTGGCTGCGCTCGCTCTCCTCCAGGGGCTCCTCACCTGTTTACTCTGCAGAGGACTCTATCAACATTCAACTAGCTTCATTTGTATTAGCAGCAAAGCCGCACATTGAGATGTGAAGGGAGCGTGCAAGTCTGGGGCTCAGGCTGGCACCGAGGTCCTGGACAGCAACCTGCATGGCCCGTTAAGCTGCTAGGCCCTGCTAGGTTGCTTGCCAAGCTGTGCTTCGCAGTGCTGGTTCGCTTCCATTTTTTGTGCCCATCAGCTCACTTCTGGGCCATGTACAATATGAAGTGCAGATATGATGGGACTCTAGCCCGGATCTTCCGAAGCCAACCCGCAGGCTGTACAAACGAAGCAAGCATGCTCGGCTTCTTGGCTAGCCGGCTTAGCCAGCTTAGCCAGCTCCGGTTCCTCGGAGGGCACAGCCAGTCGCAAGCGCAAGAGCAGCTCACCTGAGACCTGCGGGCCCCACGGAAGGTAAGGCCTTTCTGTGGGAAGCTCAACAGGCAGGGGACTACCATCAGCATGAGCAGAGCCAATCATGTGCGCGAGCTCGGTGACATCTTGGATTGAGAGCGCGCTGGCAACGTAGAACCTTAAGCAAGACAGCTCTGAGAGGAACGGAGATCGCAAGATCCGGATGATCCGGGTCCAACACTCGGAGAGCTCGCCTTTCATGCCAATCTGGATTGCTCGCATCTCCTCAAAAATTCAAGCCCATGGCGGGCCATGGGCGCCATCAGATTGCGAGGCAGATCATGTGAGGCAGATCATGGCCAAGGGGCGAGATGCTTTGCTGGCTCATGGTGACCGTGCTCAGCTCGGCCTTTTTCAAGACATCGCGCCGGGTCCCATTGGATGCGGCCCTCTGTCCCACCACCTTGGCATTTCAGGGCAACCCTCCTGCATCAGACTCTTTTTCGGAATCGAATCTCCATGGCCACAGCTGCAGCGACTGAGAATCTCCGCCACGGCCTCGTGCGGCAGCTTGATCTTCAGGACGCGCTCCTCGAGCCAACAAAGTCTGCCGCATGTGGCTTTGGTATTGGCCTGTATGCCTGAAGGGTCATTCACGCCTGCTGGCATGGTGGCACGGTGGCACTGTCTGATGACAAACGATGACACTGAAATCTGGCCTTCAAAGTATAAGCTAGGGCCAGCAAAAGCAGCTGGCATAGTGCTACTCAAAACATTACCAGCCATCCCAGCAATCAGGAGTATCACTGGACAATAAACCTAACCGACCTGATCCTGAAGGGGTGAGCGGCTGGGTGGGGACAGTCATGGACGGCATCGCAAGTGAGCGACTAAGTGTGTGGATGGGTGTGAGTACATGACGGAGCGAACGGAACACGAGGAAACACGCACATCTGCTACGCCTGCTTGCATGAACCCTGCGTCATGCTTTCTGATTTCTATTTCTGCAAGATCTTCTTTACCACGCCCACTCTTTTTTGGTCCTCCCCCTGCCAGCCCCAGCCCGCACCGGAGCTGCACAGTTGAAATCCACCCGGCCCCCCCGCGGCCTGGCAGTCTGCTCCAACCAAGCAAGACCAAACTCAAGACTACGAAGTCAGCCAGCTTTTGGCGTCTCATGAGCATCGGCCTGATTCGGGTCTTTGAAGCCATAGCCTGCCCTGTAAAGCATCCAGGCCAGGGATGGCTTGATCCTCAGGCACCAGACACGCCAAGCGCAGCAACCAACTAAGCCTCTAAGCCTTCTAGCTAGAGATTGTGCTTAGGGTCCACGTCATCCGCCTGGCATTGAAGCTTGGCCCACCAAATCTCTGATGCTTCACTGCCCACTTTGCAATGTCCTTGTTGAAAGCCTGCACTCCACAGCAAGCACGTACAGAACATGCATGCGCAACGAACAGGCATGTGCTGCGGGAAGAACAGTGAGCCATGGAAACATTTAAGACACTTTCAAGACGCTCCGAGCTGGCCTGGTAGAAGAAAACGCCTTCATCATCCCACTCCCCAACAAACATATGCGACTTGGGCTCGTCCTTCTCATCACCAGGGAGAGCTTCCATGGCATACGCGAAACACGGTGTTGTCTTAGGATTGGCAACGGCAGTGACCAGCCGGCGGCCAAGCATCTCACATCACACGCTGTATCCAGGCTTGGGCCCAATGGCAGTTACCATCTGCAACCCAAACCCCAGCTCTGGTGCCTCACAGCCACAATTCGTCGTGTGCCTCCTTGGCTTCTCTTGCCTCACGCATCTCGCCGCGACGTCGAGGGGCCTTCACGGAAAGGCGAAAGGCTTGAAGCTTCTGCAAGCTTCTTCAATCATGGAGCTGCGCAGCTTCGAAAGAGAAGAGGGTCGGTTCGCTCTCTCGTCTCTTGGCCTTTCGGAAGGGCGGCAGGCCGAGGCCTGGTGGGCGCCGCTCTGCTCGGCCTGTGCGGAGGATCCGTTTTGTGGCCCCACCCCACATACTCGAAGGGCAGCTACGGGCCTTGCGGTCGCGTCACCTAGCAACAGAATGACAGAACCGGAGAAAAGGAGAGGATCCTGTTTCGTTTTCGTGGTGCTCTGCCCGGCCTGGGCTCGGAAGCCTCTCCACGCTGCTTGCAGCTGCATTGCTGCAGAGACCTCTTCCATGTTTCTAGAAAGAATTTTTGGCTTCGGCCCCAAGACTACGGAGGGATTTGCTGCATGTTAGGCATGTTCCGTTTCTCGCCTCATCCCGCCTTGCTCGTGCACGAGCCTGATCACTTTGAACCCGGGGCCCCCTCCGCTTCCACGAAAATCTAGGGTTGCAGCTGTCTCTGCTGAAACCCGCTGAGGTCTTCCACTGGCCTAAGACAGATCAGTATCCGCCACACAGCAAGCTCACTAGCCACCTTGGCCCAACTCAGGCGAAAGCTGCGCAGTCGCTAAGCCGCAGAAGCTTTGATCTGATCAAGTAGCCCTGACACACGGCCTCTGGAGGATGTACAGGCAACAGAGTCTTCAATCAAGGCTGAATCGGCTGAAGGCCTGTATGAGCAAAACTGATGAGCACCCGGGCTTGCCTGGTCAAGTCTGCTTCGCAGTTACAGGCAAAGGACACCTTAAGCATAAGCTGACAGGGTATACAAGTAGCTACGGACACGTCTTGTGCGCAAAGTGGGCACGGCCACTTCCTGGTGATTATGGAGGTTGAGGTTTGTCTTTGAGCTGTTGCCAGAGCTGGTTACCCAAAGACCACCCAAGCCATCTCTGTTCCTTCGACAACGACGATGCCTTCGTTCTGAGAGCCATCCAGTTGCGAGGCAGTCTGGCAGGTACAGAACTCAAATGACCAACGAAGGAATTCTCACGCAGCGCCTGGGCCTGGCGACGTCCTGAGAAAACAAAAAGCATGGCACTCAACAAGACTAAAACTAGAAGGCCTTGTTGGACATGCAGGGTCCCCACTTCCACCTGAGCAACAAAAAAACAACGCTTTGTTTTGAAGCCTTGTTGCTATCGCGATCTCTTGAGCCGTGTTGAGCCGTTATCTACTCTCGCTCGGCCCTGCTCGCCTTCGACTCTTGATGATCTTCGTCGTCATCTGACATGCCCTCCTCGTCCTCCTCACACTCTGTAGGTGCCAAGGAGCTCATACACTCCTCAGGTCATAAGCTCCAGTCATGCTTCTGAAGTGCAGTCCAGTGCAATGAAACGGCAGATGACTCGCTCAATCGCTTCCAGGGGTCGGTGTCAGCCGTGTCATCCGTCTCCGAGGCCTGCAGATTGTGCAGGTGAGCATTGGCAAAGACCATGCCATAACATGCCATGGTGTTGTGACATGAAGGCCTTACTGATGGTCCACACGATGTCCTTCACAGCTGTGTCTTCAGAAGTTGTGGACCCTGAAGTATTACACGGCTCCCTCCCACAAGAGTTTGCAAAGCCCTGTCCCCGGCATCACTGCAAAACTCTCGTGGCCTGTCAACCTTGCATGGCATGGATGCTGCTAACATCGCAGTGGAAAGCTCAGACCTGGGAGTTCTTCGTGTCCGCCTGGTCTGACAGCTCCTCTTCCTGTTCATCTCACATGTTACATCTCGCATCATCTCGCGTCGCAGTCCCATTGGACACTCCTCATCACATTCGAAGACAACCCAAAGGTCACGCGGCACGAAGCCCTGGACGCAGGCAACGGGGGCAATGGTTGCAGCTTGTTGCAATTGTGCCAACTGCCAAGACTGCATAAATTGCGTCTCCACCTCCAGCTCTGGCTCAGGGTCGTCCACACTCAGAAGCTCCTGATGCATAGCGCACAGCCCATCTCAGCCTTAAACAGCCCTTCGTGTCCTGGGCAGAGATCGTGGCATTTTGGCCGACAACGGCAAAGAGCTGCTCCTCCTCGGAATCTGAACCTCGTAGACCATTACGGCGCAGATTACAAGAACTGTTTTCCTTCGATTTTCCCTCAGGTGCGCACCATCCCAGGTCTGGACGAAATCGGCCCATCCCTGACCTTCAGTCGCTTCAGCCTGGCAAAGTATGCAAAGTATAACTCTGGATTAAGCTTCAGGTGTTCCTGGGCTGTGGAAGATCGTTAAGACTTTCTGGTCATGTTCATGGTGGAAGCTTGGACTGAATAGCAGCTCCACTTCACTGCTCGCCAGTTTCAGCTGCCGGCTCGCCATCTGTGCGGATCCAGGCAGACATGGGCAGCTCAGGTCGCGCCTCCTCTGCTCTGGCGGCCTCTTTCTACAAGTAGTCAGCGAAGAATCCGTTTTGCGTGACTCTCCGCAGGCCTTGTTCCGGCGCCCGCCAAGGCGGGTACCCGGGCGCGGGGAGCACGGCTCGCAGTCCGCGCAATCTGCGTCCGCTGACTCCTTCCCGAATTACCCGAATTACCCGAGAAATGCCAGAACCCAGAAGGAAACAAAAGCTGACCTCTTGAAGCCAAGGCCACCGTTCACCTGAGCCAGCTCAATGCTGGCAAGGGCCAGCCCCAGAAACAACACTACGGACACTACGTGCATCAGCTGTTCTTTCACACACAAGCTGATTGCACACGTGTTCATCCGCGTATGGGCGTGCTTAATCAAGCCAGCCGAAGTAGGCCAGAAAGCTGTTTGCCGCACCCCTCCGTTTCCAGTTTCTGAAGTCTCGCTCCCAACCATCTGCTAAAAGAGCAAGCTAGGCACAGCTACGCACAGCTACGCTCAGCTATGGCAAGGTGAAGGCCAAGCCCTGGGCCAAATTTGCGGTCCTCCTCAGGTCGTCCTTTCAAAAAAGGCTCAACTGGCTTTCAATTTGAGATGTATTGGCATGCCGCAAGTAAAGGCCTGGACAACTCCAGCCCCAGTCCGCTCTATGCTGTTCCCAAGCTTGGTGGGACGAAGCCTCATCCTCAGAATTGACACAAAGGGAGTTGACCACAAACTTGAGTAACGAAGAGCGAGAAGAGCGAGAATCCAGCCTCCAAGGACTGGCGCTCGAGGCCTTTCTCTCGAGGCCGGAGCAGCGAATCCTCTTCGGGTAATTTCTGCGGGCACTGCGGGCTTTGGGTCAAGTCTTCCACATCCCCCAAGCCGCCCAAGCCGCCCAAGCCGCCCAGTGCGACCACTGCGAGCTCTCTAAACTGCTCGGGGTCAGCTGGATTCGCTGGCTTCGCTGGCTTGGCCGCGACCCGCTCTTCGAGGGTCAAAGCCTCTGGCCTGTCTGTCTCCTCATCTTCTGATACTCCCTCCGAGTCGCTGGGAGATGCAGTCCGCGCGGCTTCTGGAGTAGGATTTTCAGGTGACCGGGGATCTGAGTTCAGCTTGTGACCCCTGTCTTCTTCCCGAATCCTCCAAACGGCATCCAGGACTGAGCCCCCCTGCAAGGGTCGGCGAACCGGCCTGCACAATGCAAAAACACAAAAGCAGAAGTTGCTGAGGCTTGAAGGCTTGTGCTTGTGGGGATCCCGGCCTTTGCCCACCTGCTGCAGACCGTGGCCGTGCCAGAAGTGGGGCGCCAGGCAGGGAAGCAAAGGGGGATGTGGGTGTAGACGTGTGCAACGTGTCGTCCCAGTCCTCTCGGAGTCTCCGCCATTCGTGAGGCTTTGGATCTTCCGGGAGGTCTCCCGGCAGAGCCGGCGGAGTGGATAACACCAGTGCAACCGGCTTCTGGGGCTCCATGAGTTTCGGAAGTTCCCCCAGCCCGGAGCCCAGGCTCAAACCAGGCTTGGCTGAGAAATGCGCGTCGAAAACCACCACAAAATAATCTGCAAACCCCGTGCCTCCTTGCCTTGCAATTGTCTTGACATGCCGCATCCTCTTGCAGCCCAGGACATGACGAGAGCAGACACTGGAAGTACATCGTTTGCGGGACTGGAACGTGAAAAAAAAACAAGCAAATGTGCGTTGCAACTGTACGCTGAAATGACACAAACTCGACATGGGGACGGTAGGGCCACTCTATCCCTTTCAGAGTTTGGAAATTCTCGTTGCATGGCAGGAGCTGCTCCCTGATCAGGCTGCATCAGTTGGACTTGTCCTGCAGTTAAAGATACTACTTTTAGTTACTTGCAGTCATCAAAGCTTAAAAAAGCAACAAGCAACATCTGGGAGCTGCATCGCCGCATCGCGATGCCGGCAGAGCCAGAAGAAACAGCAGGGAGCAGCAGGCCAGGAGGCAGGAAGCGCAATTAGAAACAATTGCCAACAAGAACAAGCCTGCGAAATCAGAATGCCAGGAGAAAAAAAGCAGGCGCCCCAAGGAAAGAGCAGAAAGCGTCAGGCAGCAAGCCGAACCAAGACAGCATAACGCAGAAGACTTGACGCAGGAGAGGCAAGCGGAAAGTAGGAGGCAAGTCGAAGCAAACGTTGAATCAAATCCAACAAGGCAGCAACCTCCGACAAGAAGACAAATGTCCTGGGAGGAGTGGGCTTCTGAGCTATCTCTACACCCAAGATTACGAGGTCCATCTGCCAGCAGGGCATTGTCAGAATCGCATGCTCCAAGCTTGCTCCAAAACGCACGCAAGCGTTGCGCTAGCTCTTCTTTTCGCAGAACTGCTGGCGAAGCATCTCCTCAAGTTCAGCATCC